TTTGTTGATATTGGACTTTTATTTTTCGGAAAGAAGGTACTGTATCTCCGAATGCAGGGATGTAGCGACGTTAAATTTTGTTCATATCCCATTTAGGATAGTTACATTAAATCTGTGCAAAAAAAATCGGGTCTCAAAGAGTTAAAATTCATAGCCAATTTTTTTTAATACTCTACATTTAAGATGGAAATTACAAATAAGACTTTCAAAATTCTAAAAATGGTAGGGAAACAGTATATTAATCCTCTGAGAACACGAATGACTTAATATTGAGACCCTGACAAACCATCTTAGGAGTAGTGGCCATGGTATAATTATTACAAGGTTGGGTATACCCAGCTACCAGCTGATTAAATTTTTTCTCAATGTGGCTCGTTCTTTCAAATCAAAATATACATTTTGTGTATGTGTTTGTATTGTTTTGAATGTCATGTCAAATAAATTCTAATGAAATGAAAATGATTTAAAATGATTAATTACATTGTTATGCATGAAACAAATATTTCATGGTATTCCCTACTGGATTTTGAGAAGAAGTCATAACCTTTCATTCATTTTTCGCGTTAATGTTTTTAAATTTTTTATTTTATTTTTGGCTTTAGAAGCCACTACCTACAGTGTTGCTTTTTTGTTATTCACCACCTCAAGTTGTCCTACCTTGTATTTTTGTACCAATATTTGGTATATGTTGGCAACGCTTAAAAATACTTTCTTACTACCCTCCACAATTTGCATATTCTGAAGGAACCAGCCGCATTTTCAACAGAAATTTGTGTAAATGCTAAACAATTGCGAAGTCTAATTTTTTATACCCTCCAACATAGTATGGAGAGTATATTAATTTTGTCATTCCGTTTGTAACACATCGAAATATTCATTTCCGACCCTATAAAGTATATATATTCTTGATCAGGGTAAAATTCTAAGACGATCTAGCCATGTCCGTCCGTCTGTTGTAATCACGCTATCTTCCGAAGGAATTGAGATAGGGTGCTGAAATTCTGCATAGGGTTGTCTTTTGTCTGCAGGTAGGTCAAGTTCGAAGATGGGATATATCGGTCCGTTTAGGCATAGCTCCCATATAAGGGTACCCCCCAATTTTCGGTACTTTGGGGTTGTTGAGCGCGTTTTTCAACCGAATTCGGTGCAATTTGGAATTTGTAGTCGTATATGGTAACAAATCTCCCTACCAAAAATTATTTATATTCGCCCCCTTTTTGGGGTAGTCCCCCTTTTTTATACCCTCCACCATAGTATGGAGGGTATATTAATTCCGTTTGTAACACATCGAAATATTCATTTCCGACCCCATAAAGTATATATATTCTTGATCAGGGTAAAATTCTAAGACGATCTAGCCATGTCCGTCTGTCCGCCCGTCCGTCTGTTGTAATCACGATATCTTCCGAAGGAATTGAGATAGGGTGCTGAAATTTTGCGTAGGGTTGTCTTTTGTCTGCAGGCAGGTCAAGTTCCAAGATGGGATATATCGGTCCACGTTTAGGCATAGCTCCCATATAAGGGTACCCCCCAATTTTCGGTACTTTGGGGTTGTTGAGCGCGTTTTTCAACCGAATTCGCTGAAATTTGGTACATTGTGTTCTTATTGGGTACTAAATGTCTCCACAAAAAATGATAAATATAGGTCCACTTTTTCTGGTAGACCCCATATAACGGTACCTCCTAATTTTCAGTATTTTGGGGGTTTTGGTCGTATTTTTCCACCGAATTGGCTGTAATTTAGTACTTTGAGTTCTTAATAGGTACCAAATATCTCCACAAAATATTATGAATATAGGTCCATTATTTCGGGTAGCTCCCATATAAGGGTACCCCCAATATTCGGTATTTTGGGGTTCTTGAGCGCGTTTTTCAACCGAATTCGCTGCAATTTGGAATTTGTAGTCGTATATGGTAACAAATCTCCCTACCAAAAATTATTTATATTCGCCCCCTTTTTGGGGTAGTCCCCATATAACCCCCTTTTTTATACCCTCCACCATAGTATGGAGGGTATATTAATTCCGTTTGTAACACATCGAAATATTCATTTCCGACCCCATAAAGTATATATATTCTTGATCAGGGTAAAATTCTAAGACGATCTAGCCATGTCCGTCTGTCCGCCCGTCCGTCTGTTGTAATCACAATATCTTCCGAAGGAATTGAGATAGGGTGCTGAAATTTTGCGTAGGGTTGTCTTTTGTCTGCAGGCAGGTCAAGTTCGAAGATGGGATATATCGGTCCACGTTTAGGCATAGCTCCCATATAAGGGTACCCCCCAATTTTCGGTATTTTGGGGTTGTTGAGCGTGTTTTTCAACCGAATTCGCTGAAATTTGGTACATTGTGTTCTTATTGGGTACTAAATGTCTCCACAAAAAATTATAAATATAGGTCCACTTTTTCTGGTAGACCCCATATAACGGTAACTCCTAATTTTCAGTATTTTGGGGGTTTTGGCCGTATTTTTCCACCGAATTGGCTGTAATTTAGCCCCCTTTTTGGGGTAGTCCCCATATAACCCCCTTTTTTATATTAAAATAGTTATCTAATTTGTTCCACGTTTTGGGTTTGGTTCTAAGAGTCTGTCGTAATCATTTAACCTGCGGAGGATATCGAGATAAAGCTAGAACGTAAGGTTCGATAATGAACTATACATGAACTATAACCCGCATATAGACCTAGCACCTGTATGGGAGGTATCAGAGGGAGTGGACCGATAGTCCACAAGGGAACTAGTTACCATAATTAGATACTTGTTCCCTGCCTTATCTTGTCTTAAGTCGTTTCCTACGGTGAATTCTCAGTTTCTCTTATATTATATTTTTATTTAGACTGATTTCTCTTCTATTTTCACTTCCACCAAGAAATACACACAAGACTCTCGTTAAATTTTCTCATTTCACTATCTATGTTTTTTATCTGGCAACACTTTTCGAAAATGGCGCGACCAACCAATTGTTGCTTCCTAATCTAAATTTTTTGCGCTTCAAGGACTCGAAATGTCAAATTTCAGAAATTTCGTTTGATCACATTTGCCACCTTCAAAATATCGAACATTGCTGCGTTTTAGTAATATGAAAGCTAAACCAAAAACGTGGATCAAAGTTTTGGCGTTTTTAATATCAAAATCTTAGGACTAATAGCAATGTATGTATCAAAATGTAAAGTTCTATCTTAAATAATGCTATCTCTGTCGAGGTTTTAACAGGCGGATGGACGGGCATGTCTAAATCTACATAGAACTTTATTCTCATAAATAATAAAAATATACATTATGAGCTTCGATTGCAAAAGGAATGCCATAATGAAAACATCCTCCATCTTATGACAGCGGTATACAGATCTTCGAATAAGAAATAAATTATTCCACTAAGTTCCTTCTAATTTTGCCCACACCAAATAAATGTGTATACTACTCTCCTTTCAGTATCTCCTCATTTGTATCTGGCAACACTTTTCAAAAATGGCGCGGAAATATGTTTTGCATCAGTTATATTTGTTGCTGTTGGTTTTACAAAAAAAATCCAACCAACTGCTGTTTGCTAATCTAATCGAACAATAGAAAAATTGTATTCATATTTGCACGGTTGATCTCCCATTTCAAAGACCTCGAAAACGCAAACATTAACGAGAATTTGCCCGCCATAAATTCAGGTAAGTGTACATAGCCATCCATTGGTTACAAGCAGCTACCCTTACCCTTAACAAGAAAACGAAATAGGATCTATTTTCATTTCAGTTAGAATGGCAGATCACCGCGTACAAATATTTACTACCCTTATATGAGGCAGCATACAAACACACACACACAGGAACACTGTTACTTAGGTAGGTGATGTGAGCAAAAGGATGTGTAATGGCACTCATGCAACAACACAGACAACAAGTACAAAGGATCTGTTGTTGTAATCCTGTAGGTATGCTACTGCCAAATCGAGTGTATCGTATATTATGTGCCACTGCCAAACAAACTCCAGTCAGTACTAAGTGGAACATCAGAGAGAGCAGAGTGCCACCGCCGCAAAGAAATCAATTGAAATAAAAATAATATTCTGGTTTGAATTGCATATTTAAAGCTGCTGCTTTGCGATATACTACAAAATAGAATGGATTCCAAAATGGTAAGTTGTTGTAAAGCTAATAAGCAAGGGAAGTTTTTTCTAAAACTAATTCTCCTCCTTTTGATTTTTCTAGATCTCCTCACAAATTATCATCAAGCCACAACAGAATACTGCCACCAAAATAATGGTGGCTAATGGACAAAATTTCAAACGAGTTCCAGATGTTTATGAACGCCCCCTGATGATAAATGCCTGGTGTCAAACGACAAATGATGACTTCAAATTCCTTTACGAATTCGAACACAAAAAAGAACAGACCAAACGGGAAAATGAACTGTTGGAAAAAATACGCATTCTGGAAGAAAATCTTAAGGCCCACACCGAATTACTTTCTCAAATACATGCAACATCGGCAAGGACCTCGGCTCTGCTAGGACAATCCGCAACTACCACTACAACAACAGCAGCATCTACTACTGAGCAACTCACCATCAAACCCATACAAATACAAACTATCGAATCACAGTCCTCATCTACAATAAATTCCTATAAAGTCACCGAATCCAGTCCAAGACTTAGCAAAAGTTCACACAACTCTCCAACTAGCTCAGTGATAAATCCAATTCATCAAATTCCTTCCAACCACACAGAAAGCATAAAATACACCATAATTGCAGAGGGGGCTGGAGATGCCCACGGCGAACCAATAGAAATACAATTGGCCGAAGATGATGGTGCTTTGAATCTAAATAACTCTGCAGATTCCGATCGTTTGGAAATATGTTTGGCATCGGATGATATGGAAATTAAAACGGAAACAGTGCAAACAACTCTTCCAACAACAACCACAATTACTCCCCTGTCACGCAATAACTCCAGTGAACCGAACTTCTTAAAACGTAGGCGATTGCCGGCAGATGAAAATGAAGAACCAATGGAAAATTCCTTTTACGAACCAACACAAAGGAGACACAGCAACAACAATCTGGCAAACATCAAAACTGAAAATGTCTACACCACACCTAAACAACAATCGTCACCATCGCCAGGAAATAACATGGACACGGCGGAATACAAACTTAACATAGACAATGTTATGGTGTCGATTGGTCCCAACAATACCAGAATACCCGCCAAAATCTATGAAAGTATGAATTGGAGTTCGGCATCGATTGCAACGCGTAAACTACTCATGGCCATATTCGATCGCAAAACCTTGGCAACGCATTCGATGACGGGAAAACCATCACCAGCCTTCAAAGATCATGGCAAGCCATTGAAACAAATGTTAGATCCATCGGCAATACAGGATATTATTTTTGCCGTGACGCGTAAATGTAATGTCTCGGAAAAGGAGGTGCGCAATGCCATTACCACAAAATGTGCCGATGAAAATAAAATGATGAAACTGCAATTGAACAAGCGTACACCAATGCGTGAAATCAAAAAGGAAAATACTATTACCGTTAAGACGAATATGATGATGTAATTGATTGAGTGGTGGTGGTGGTGGTGGCAGCCTCATCCACAAAGAAGTTGAATATTTTTTAAGCCTCTGTTGTAAATCCCAAGGAATTTTGTTCTAAAAGTTCTTAAAGCACTTGAGTACAAATTTATTAGACACAAAAAACAAACAAACTAATAATTACGAATTGAAATGTATTTATTATTAAGAAAAAATAAAACCAAATATTAATGTTTAATTTAAATCAATGTTTGATTTTGCATAAAAAACGAACAAAAATAATTAAATTTTACAAATTTATAGAGTACGGGACTAACAAATCTCATAGCATCCTTCATCGATAATAAAACATTCATTAAAAAAATTCTAAAGGAGATGACATTTTGAATGAAAGGCATTCTTTATGTCTGAAGTGGCAGACAGTTGACAGTTGGCCGAATAAAACTCGGGTCGTTGGGGATTGTAGACCCCTCTGTCGTGGAAACAAAGTCTAGACCTGGACTTCGCTTTATAAGTATTCCTTTTGTTTTTATACCCTCCACCGTTTGCCATTATTTGAAATATTCGTCATAAAAGTTTTTGGTCAGTTTTTGCAAAATTGTCAGGCTGAATCCCAGTTTGTTGTTTTTGTTATAAGAACAACTATTTATTAGTGGGGAAAGTATGACATTGTCCACCAAGGTGTAAAATTCTATATCGATTTAGCCATGTCCTTCTGTATCGAAATCGAGTTTTGAAAATTTTGCACAAAAATTGCTATAACATCAGGGATGTTTGATATTAAAATATCGATCCCCATTTTATAGTGGCATTTTCAACCGAAGGTGGAAATTCAGTATGTAAATGTTTTGATTGAATCCATATAAAGGTCCCAGTGCATATGGAGGCGAAAGTTGCATTTGCTGAACATTGTCAATATTAGTCCATGTTTTGAAGAATCGTCTAATGGAATTATGTCCCCATATTTATATATTGCTTCTTGTTAACAAAGACCCCTACTTGGTTCGATTATTATTATGAAGTTTTCTACACAGACTATTCAATAGAGAGTAAAAAACAATATAAACAAGCCAAAGTTAGGTAATTTTTATGGTCCTAGACTTATTTTTTCAACTGAAGTGCCCGTATTTTGCCATTTGGGAAATTACAAAATTTTGAAAGAGCACTATATACTGAAGTTAAAATAAAAATTATTACAGTTCTTTGTCAGAATTAAGTCTAGTAAAGAAACCACCAAATTGCTATTTTCAAAATTTACTGCTTTTGGCATCATACACTCTGGTAAGGGCGATATATTTAACTACCCATAAATAACCACAATTGTCTCCTTGTAGTACATTTGTATTTTTTAATCCAACCAAAATGGTTTCTAGAACTAAGAAGATTTATAATTCTAAAAGAACAAACACAAATCCTCCCACATACATACTTATTTTTTAATACGCTAACTGGGAATTTCCCATTCGTAAAAAAAAACGAAGAAACAAAACTAAAATCAGCAGGTACAAAATAAAAATCTATTTCCTTCAAGGTCATTAGATGGCCGACTAAGTTATGGCGGCAGATTCTATGATCATCAATAGTAGAAACATTCTCAAAATCTACCTGCCATAGATTGCAATTCCAGGAACTGGCATTTCTTATAAGACATATGGTGTGCTGTACATGTTCCAGCTGCACTAAATCCTGTCGTTTTCCTAGAAAAATGTAAGTATCAAATCTTATTCGACAATGGATGTATTGTGATTAGAAACGTTTGATTTTAAAAATAACATCACAATGTGCAAGGATATTTCGAAAGCCGAAGCTAATATGGTAAATAATGTTATGTATAGGTTCCTATTAGCACATAAATGTTCACGTTTTCAGAAGAAGATCCTGACTCAATCTCATACGTTGTCCGATCATTATTAGTTAAGAAATTATAACATTGTGGCTGTATCAATGTTTGAAGCACGATGAATCCGCTTAAGTGCAAGACATAGGATCTATGTTTCATGACGGCCCGAATCTTACACGGCCAATGAATATCATCTCAGCCCATTGTGTAAGAACAGAAGGGTAGCTACAGTCGCTTTATTGACTATTTAATAACATTATTGGGCCGCTTGAAAGTATAAATGGAATGTGCCTATAACCATCAAAGTACCTAAAATAGAACGGGGCTATGCCCAAAGATGGAACTATTTTGAAAATTTTCTAGAGAGATGTCAAGAACATATAATGCCAAATTATAGCTGCTTTGTAAAAATGGCGATATCATGATTTCGTCAGACAGAAGATCTCACTTTAACAATTTTTAAGCTTTTGTACTTCAACTTCGTTTGCATACTCAAAAATACTTCTACAATTTACGAAGTTCTCTTTAAACCTTTTTACTCGACAAGTTTTGCCAAGTAAAAATGTTAATTTCTTCTTGGCTAATATATATTGAAATTTAAAGTGTTCCCATCAATTTGTGTGATATTTTTTCGTGGTTCAGATTTAAATATTGACCTGCGTGAAGTTTTGTTGTGCGTTTAGATATAGCTTCCACATATACTATCCGCCCATTTTATGAAAATGGCGCTCCAAACTTCCATCGGTTTGTCTGAATGAGACGAAATTGTACATAACGTACCAAATTGAGTCTAGACTGACGTGTGTTGAGTTTCGTTCAAATCGGTCCTGATTTATATGTAACTCCCCCATCTATGTTCGGTCGATTTATTTAAAATTTGCACCAAAATCCCAAAAGTTTGTACAATTGAGACGAAATATTGCATAGTTTACTAAATTGAGTATTGAAATTCACCACACCTTGGTACAGGGTATTATATATTTGCCCATATGGGATTATATTAATTTGTTGGTTCTTATATCTTTGTAGATCACATAAAGAATTTCTTCCGATTCTATGTCAATAGTCCTCCAAAGATGCTATGTATGTTTCATCGACAGCATATTGTACGTAGGAGCATCTCAGTATGAACCTAAAGTGGTGAAGAGTATCATATAGTCGGCTCCGTCCGATTTTCGAACTTTCCTTACTGGTTATTTTTATTATTTTTTTGTACTCTAGAAGTGATTTTAATAATTACGGATATTCTCATGCATTATAGTACTTTTACATTCTACCGGATTTCCTTAACCCAGTTAGTTCCAATTGTCAATTCCGTTGTATGCATGTCAATCAAATAAATCAAATGTAAATGCCGTTTTAGTCCGGGAAATCTTCATATGACATGTTAGAAAAGTTCTCCGGTTTCAAATCCCGCTATAAGTATAGGACAAATAATCTCATAAGATTCAAAATACATGCCAAGAATAAATTTCTCGTTTTGTCTTCTGCTAATAAATGTTACGTTAGATTTACGTTTTACTAACTCCATTTTCTAATTGGTACTTTCCTTCATCTGGCAACAACGAAAATATTCCATAAATTCCCATGGGAATTTAATTACTTTAAATTAAATTATGGATGGGAATTTTGATCATTAGTCATGGCCTTATTTCGGTGGTCCCGGTATATTATAGTAGCAGTAGTCTATTAACCGATTTTTGACTTCGCCTTATTCATTGTATGTACATTTATGCCTGTTGCAACAATTGGATACGTCGCCGTCCATCCAATTGGCATCTGGTTACATCTGGCAACGATAGGAATTTAGCGCGTAAAAATATATTTTGTTTTCAAAAATTGATCCAGCTGCTTCATTCAAACCAAGCCGGCCGGCCATCCAACCTAAAATACAGCCAAATCGTTGTAATTATTTTCCTTGTTCATACGAGTGTCAGTGTGTGTGTTTGCGTGTTGTTCCGCTTTATTAGATTTGGCGCGTTCTATTCAGTTACCTACTCTATACCTATTAAGGGAATAGGATTTCATCACAGTCAGAACTAAGTACATAGCATTTTCCACCCTTAATTCCATGCAGCCCTTACGATCGCGTGTATGAGCTGTATGCAACAAGAACTAGAAATTTAGGTAGACAAACAATACAAAGGATACCGGAACGAACAGCAGGCAAGCTAATGAGACCTATTTACTTGCAGCAGCGGCAGCAACAACAAATTCAATAGTCCTCGCCATGTGTGTATATTCAAATACGCTCATGGAATAAACCGTCAGTCAGTATTGAACAAACCAACGAGGAGTAAAGTGCCCTTGCGAGAAAAACCCGTCGTGTTCCAAATAGAATATTTTCTCACCAGTCGTTTAAATACAAAACCGTGCTATTAAATATGGATACAAAAATTGTAAGTAAAGAGCCACGATCGTGATGCAATTCAATTGAATTTCTTCATCAAATAATTAACTTTCATTCCTTTAGATATCATCACAAATAATTGTAAGACCACAACAACGGATTCCAATAAAAGTGGTCACAGCCTGCGCACAAAATTTCAAAAGAATTCCAGAACAAAAATATGAACGTCCTCTTATGATGAATGCCTGGTCTCAGACAACTGGCGATGATTTCAACTTCCTACACGAACTTGAACAAAAGCAAAAATCATCAAAACGCGAAGAAGAGTTATTGGAAAAAATTCGTATACTCGAGGAGAATCTCAAAGCCCATACAGAATTACTATCTCAAATACATGAAACCTCAGCCCGAACATCTGCATTGCTTGGAGGACAATCAAATCAACAAATGATGAAACCTATTCAAATACAAAGTATTGAATCACTACAAAACACCAAATCATCTTTATATTCGATCCCAAAAGTGGAACGTGCTGCTGAATCCGTTGCATCGAACCGTAATTCAATGCAAAACAGTACATCAATATCTCCAAAAAGTGTTAGCTATACCATTATAGCTGAGGGTTCAGGTGATGGTAACCACGAACCCATCGAAATACAATTGGCCGAAGATGATGGTGCTTTAAATCTAAACAGTTCAGCAGATTCTGGCCGTTTGGAAATATGTCTTGCCTCTGATGATGTGGATATGAAAACTGATGCAATTTCAACACCTAACAACAACTCGCATATATCCCGTACCGATTCAATGGCATCACTCAATAGTAGTACTGAA